CATGATAGTCCAAACACAGCCAGATTCACACGGACGTTCTGCAGAACAGTACTGTGCAAGTCAGCTTCAAAAACCCCACGGAACATAGGACGAACTTGGACGACGTGTTCGACGTCAACAACAACCACCATGCGATGACGCTGAAGACAAGCCTTGCAACACCACTAGGCAGCTATACCATTAGAGTGCACCCGACTCTTGTGTTGCAAAGCATGCATCAGAGCACGAGGTGTAAAAACAACATATTGACGGCCTCTGTTTTGAACTAAATGTAGATGTAATTCTTCATATTTGTCTTGGAGGTCTCATGACGGAAGGAATGCAGTGTATGTCACTGCAATTAAATAACAATGTAATAACAAGAGTCAATCAATTATTTCATTTAGTGGAAAGGCCTTAGGCCCACGTACATAAAATGCCCACTTAGAAAATACAAAAAAACATGAGCTGCAGCAAAATAACAATGTTACTATAGAAAGGAACTGCATATAAGTAAGGCATCCCGAATATAGTCTGTGTAAGACAATAAACAAGACAGATTACTACTGTAAGAAATGAATTTGGAAGTTATTGTTGATGTGTGAAGGAAGATTTCTTAAATGTTTTTGACGAAGATCATGATATACTTGACATTTATGGAGAAAGACAATTTCATCTTCTACGTTTTTTAAATTTCATATTTTACAAAAACGACCCTGACGTGGAATACCATCACGTCTTCCAATATTTTTGTAAATAGGCAGTTCGCTAATCCTTAACAAAGTAATTCTACGCCGTGCGTCTTTTGATTTTATGTTTAACAGGAAGGTTTCTATACAGATGGATAGTTTTATTTGAGAATAGATAACCAATGATGAACCGTTCGAAATATCCGAGAATACAGATTGCACATAGCAATTTTGTATCTTTGTTTTAAATTCAAATAAAACGTTATCTTTATTGCCAACCCCCTGTGATTCCCAAACAAAACCACAGCCATATCTAAACAATATCTTTCGAATATCATATACCCACGTTTTGCGTCCTAACTTGTCTTTATATTTTTCAACCTGTTAACAAGACTTTTTACAGAGGACAGTCCTTTGCTGGCTTTATTCAAACATCACTTTTCCCGAAGTTTTCTACTTGTAACATTAAAACTTCAGTCTTTTCAAAATTAATACTCAATCCCCATTTGTGACAAAACTGTTGTGCAGGTACATCTTTGTAAATCAATTTCATTGTCAGAAATCATACTCATATATACAGTTCTAGAAATTCAGGGCAGAAAAAATACTCCTGTCGCCACACTGTTCTATTTCTTTATGCAGTTATTTTATGGAGAGTGGTTAAATAGAAGTGTGAAGAAGGTGTGTAGCAAGTTTGTATTTGTCCTGCTCACAACTTCCACGAGCATTCAGACATTTATTGATAGAGTGTCTTGGGTGAAGAGGAAAGCGTATTTACACTAACATATCTTCCTGCATATATGAATAGTCGGCCAGAAAAGAATGGCTTAATAAATTAATCTGCTTCTTTTCACCACATGACTTAATATTAAGCTTCTGAAGAAATTAATTTCCTATTGTGTTGGTTTACTGAAGTATGAACGCTTTGAAGTTCAAATCTCGTGTATAAGCGAGAGCTTGCGTAAACCAACACAATATGAAATTCATGTCATATAAATTCATATTTTGAAGTTTAAGTGACGCAACTTTTAATGAAACGCACATTTCAGGTGATTTACCTTACCGGATACATTAGAATGTAGTGACCTAATTGCGGGTATGTTCTTCACACTTACGCAAAACAAAGTAGTTCCAATTCCATAAATAAAAAATGACAAAGCATTGTTAATCAACGTGAGTTACTTTTATATTTTTACACCAGAAAGGACTTACTTCTTTTCACCTGACCTTCACCCCCTACAAAATTACCAATTATGTACAACATATGTTGACGAATGACATCACACCCGGTAATCGACTTTTACAAAACGGGGTTCCACTGACATCAGTATGCAGGATTTTACGAGTGCTCTTTCGTTGATTTAAGGATCGTTCACACATAAATGAGTCATGTACGTAATCAGAACCATTCTGACAATCTACGTATTGTTATTTGTTTTTATATTTGTCATTGTAACCAAGAGAAATGCCAATGAATACCGTTGTTGTTTTGCATTATATTGCGACAGACATGGCGTCACGCAGGACTGAAACTTTGACAATTTCTGTTAAATTTACCAAAGCATTGTAATGTATCTATTTTCAATTCCCTACTTCTTGCTACGATACTCTCCCCATGCATATTCTGAAAATTTTGAGCCATTGTATGCAACGACTAGATGAATGGATCTATCAAGGTAGGAGAAAAAGCTACAAAGTGTAAAATCTGAATTTTGCTTTGTTTACATTTCAAACAAGGGCAGTTTTTCGATCACATCGTTCGTTTTCACACCTAATTTATTTCGCCTGAGTTCATCTGGGCAGTTTATAGGCCTACTGGTGACAAGTCCATTTATAAATGTATTCTAATATGAATGATGAATTCATGGATATACGTATCGCAGGTGAGTTTGAAATATGTGTAATAGGCGTCTCATAACCGGAATACGAGAAATGGGAATTTGTAAACAATGTCCAATAAGGCGGAAGGTTCACTTCGGCGTTGGTTTGCGTACTTTCCAAAAAATACTAATAGATTCTAGACTTATCGGAGACGTTTCAAACTGATCATTGGTGATTTGATAAAAAAATCTATCAGACACCAGTGATCAGTACACTGATCACTAAAGTGCCATGTCTGAAATGCAATTCTCCGACTAATCATCCGATATATCAAATGGGTCATGCAAGAAGCAAATAAACCAATCACATCACCGGAAATCCCTTAATTTCAAAATACGAATTTATGTCAGAATACACATAGGCATTACCAGGATATAAGTACATACACAAACAGAGGAACCATATTTTACTCTAGGTCACGCTGGCTGTTGTCAGCAAGCTTAATACGTGTATAGTTATAAATTGATATAAGCCAACTTTCATCTTCATTCTGTTCACAACCTTTTCCTATTTTCCCTTAATCGCTGATGCCATGGTGAACATCTGTTTGGTTCTTAACAGAGGCATTTGAAGGAGATGCTTTAACTTGGGTACTTCTTTCATATCATATCCTTAAATACAACTAGGGGTACGGGTGGCCCATTCGTCTAAGGCGCCGCGATTCGCTGTGCAGAGTTGCATCCCTTGGGTACGCCAGAAACCTACGATTGTGGGTTCGAATCCCGGTTCGCCCCGATTATGTTTCTAGGTTTGTCGGCGCCATACCCGTGCTCGTGGGTTTCACCGAATTGGTAAACGTCTGAAACCTGCATCACTTCGGGCTTTCCTCCCACGCTAAGCTGACACGTCGTGATATAACTGGAATATTGTTAAATGCGGCGTTAAACCCAACTCACTCACACTCACTCACTTAAATACAACTACTACTAAGCACAAATCGAAGGATTTTTCTAGCTTTTAGACACTTTTAGTCACCAACATTTGCATCATTGTTAGGCACAACATACCAAATTACTATGGCCAAAACAGCTATTGGTATTATTCTCCAAAATTTATAAACCTCCGGTGACGTCATCCTATTGTTCTCCAGTCGGGTTAAATCTCATAAACAGGGACGTTGTAATGACCCTGGGATTTTATAGGATATTCAAGTCATATTTGCTATATAATGTGTTATAATATCCCAGGGATTTTATATAATGTCCTGGGTATTTTATTAATATAAGTTCCGTTCAGATTGTAACATGTAATGAAATGTTAAATCAAATGACAAATGTTTTCGTTATATTCCCGAGGATTGAACTCGCAACCTTCATATCTGTACCCCAGTGAGTGTACCACAAAGCTACAGAGGTGTTGATAAGAATGTCCTTTTCAAGATCCGTACGCCAGGAACAGATATTTTACGCCCGTTTCCTAAGGTTCATGGAAAGTATGTTCGAAACATAAAAATGTTGATAAATGTTGTTTCTTTTTTTAGATAAGTTAGATAAAACACTTCCCCTCGTTTTTTTATGATATCTTAAACCGTTATCCTTGGGATGCATGTTTTAAATGTTATAAGAACCTTTGGACGTGCTTTATTGTACACTTATAATGGGTTGAAATATAGTTTGGGGATAATTTTAAGGTTCAAAATTGGCTTATAAGTAAGATAAAACACTTCCCCTCGGGTTGTTATGATATTTAAAACCCTTTCCCTCGGAAAATCCCTCGGGATGACGTGTTTTATCCTATACATAAAGCCCTAATCGTAGCTACCAGATAACAAATTCTACGTGGATAACATCCACTGTTATGGACAATTTGTTTTAGGACTATTCCTATATGTTTTCACGTATACATATTTAGTATAACAGACACACATGTCAACGTGGGACTTTGTAATGCTCAAACAGCCATGTCGTTCACTTATGTTTGATATGTGTTTTACGACTAGTTCTATACTTATATTGTGCTTCGGTAGTGGATGATTTGAGTTACTTGATGATGCGTGAACAAAATCGAACCATAAAACATCTGGTGTTCTCAGCTGTCACGATGTCTGAGAGAATAATCTAAATAATACATCCACGACGCAAGTGTGGTAAAGTGTGTTTCCCAGCAGCTACAGCCTTTAGTGTCTGCATTTCAACTTACAAAGAGCGTCATAGGACGCTTGCTCTAAAGGCGTGTGATCAGGTTTACAACATTTTAGGCCTTAGTAAAGATTTCAAAACATTTATGGTAGACATGTGGAGGACATTTCCAAATTCAACGCATCAGTGACAATAACAATGACGGCTGCAATTCCCTATTTTGACTTGTACCATATGTCCCTGTGTTTCTTCAGGTGAACACTTGACTTACCTTTGCATGTGTTTATGACGGGTGCCATCTGTGGAGAATACGCTCACATTTTCGTAAACACCTTGTGTCAGCACTATTTGATAGTTATTCATAAACACATGCTCATGATATAGTCGGAATCGTGCAATTGACTCTGCTTTTATTTCAAATATATATTTGTGGGTGACAAGAAATATACAAAACCATCTCATTGAGTACTTAAAATATATGTATTCAAGTTATGATGAAACACTACCACCAAAGAGTCAAGAGAACTACGGTGCTGGATTCTACTTCAAACTATTTGTATATCAATTTTAAGTGGAATCATGCAAAAAACGTATGTCGTAAAATATACGGGTCGAACATTCATAACTTTTGACAAACCGATTTGTTCCAGGGGTGATTCAGATAAGCAGAACCTGGAGAAACATATCATATCCACTATTATAATTGTGATTTTGTTTTTTGCACCCTGTCTGTTTTGGCGCATAATAGGGACTGGTTATTTTCTGGCGTTGATATTTTATATGTACTGCCCTCCCTGTGTCATAACTGCTACTGACACCACCGTCAATTCTGATCAGATGACATGAAGTTTCCCTGGTAAAGTACATGAACACATGCGTTGTTAAAGTCCTGTGCTCGTAAAGCACTGCTTAACAAACTCGTCACTGCGGTTGCCATCAACTACGCCTCGATGCTGTCCTCGTCGCTGTCTTCTTTCGGCAGTACAGATTTGGAGAAGTGGTAGGCGACAACCGCACAGTAGCCGATACTGATCTGGTTCACACCACCACGCATGCGATCTCTGAAATTAGAGTGAGTGAGTGAGTTTGTTTAATGTCATATGAGCGGTATTTAGGATATAACACGGCGTGTCAGCTTGATGTCGGCGGAAAGAAAGCCCGAAGTGATGCAGACCTAGGACGTTTACCACTTTGGTGATACGACGAACAGGTGTTTGATGCTAAACAATCAAAAAACATAATCAGGGTGAATATGGGATTTAAACCCACGGGCATAGGTTTCTAGCTGGACCCAGGGACGCAACTTTGAAGTGCGAATTGTTGAGCCTCAGGCGACTGGGCAACCTGTATTCCTGAAATAAGAGGTAATATGTAAATATGGATTGAAATGAACAGCCAATATGTTTGAAACAGAATTGTGAAGAAGTATGTACACCACCTCGTTGTTGATGACCTTATCAAATGTTTCACCAAGGAATGTTGTAGATGTGTGTTTGACAGTTTAAATAGTTGGCAAAACTGTGTTAGGAGTCGGACATTTATGACACCATGTTCGTAAAAAGAACAATCATATTATTTTCAAAATTGTCTAAACAGCGATATGATGCTGAATTGATAAAGCATATTTCATAAGTAACGTTTACACTATGTGCCTTAAATTGTACATCTCGATGCAAACATTTACAAGACAATATGTTGTAAGCAAATATACTCGGATGTAATGATTAATTATGGTAAATTACGAAATACGATGAAAACTATGAAAACGCATACGTGTACTCTTTCCCCCCGGAAGTAACAACACATGTCTGTCTGCACAAAAAAAACTACATAAAAGAAGATTTATTGTGTTCCGGAGACTGTAGTTTGGTACTGCGGGTGAGGGTCGGTTCCAAAACACATACACCCGCATCCTATATTGAATCAGTTCCTTACTGTCATCATGGTCTCTGTACCACAGGAATCTAAAATAATCTCGCTGGTTCTCACGCACATGGAAACAATGAAACATCTGCTCGATGTCTCCCATCACAGCAATAGGTACCTTCCTAAAGCAAAGGAAGACCCCTAGAAGGCTGTTCGTTATGTCTTGGCTCTATAAGAGGACATGGTTCAAGGATATGCCATCAAACAAGGCACTGGAGTACAAAACACTACGTATCTGATCCGTTTTTTTGCGGATGGCCCACTCCGAAAAGTGGCAGGTATCGTACTTCGCCACCTTCAAGCAAAGCCGGAGCTATTTCTGCATGTTTGGATTAAAGAATCGTTCTAATAAACACTGTCATTTGCTGCTGTTTTGCAAACTTCTTGATCATACTTCCTTGTAAAACCTTTGCCCGTTTGAATGCTTGTGAATTGTTATTCTCTTGCCTTCTCTGCCTTTAACCATCTCGCTTTCCATGATTTGAAGGAATTGACGATCCTCAATTGACAGTCTGGGTTTGCTATCTGAGTTCTCTTTCTATGTTGTCTCAGTCGGAAATATTTCTGCTGTCGTGACAGTCTTCCTTCAGCCTGAAGTTTTTTGTGACGTGGTATGAAAGTAGATGCTCCATTGTTGAATAAGCACTTGCTCTACACCAATGCTTTTGGCTATATTTTTGAACATCAATCTCTCGGTAACGTACTTACATTTATTTTAGAATTTACATTTTGATTAAAGTCTTCCTCCAAACAAAACCGGCATGACGCCCTCGAAAACAGTTACAGACCATTATTCTTTGTATAAAACGTCATTTGGTCTGGAAAAGTATCTAATTGTAATCAGTATCTCTAAGTTTAGAAACTGTCTTGCAAAACTAAGATTTAGTTCCTATCATTTTAGAGTTGAAACCGGACGACACTGCAAACAACCAAGATGTGAGAAAGTGTGTCTACTGTGTAACAAATTGTATATAGAAGATGAGGACCATTTTTCCTTGTTTATGATGTACATCAATCCACCAGGAACTGTTATATACCAGCAAAATGCTGTGTCAATCCTTCTATACATAAATTTAATCCGCTTATGTCCATTAATGATGATTTGAGGAATCATGCAATGTATGTATATAAGTCTACAAAACTAAGAAGAGCTGCAATTGAACAAAATAACACTCTCGCTCTATTGTAACGCTATATGATGTGGGCCGCTGGCCTACAAAGCTTTGTGAATCAAGCCGAATTTGCTGTAAGTCTTTTTCACAGTCTCCGGTTTCATGTACTTTTCCGAGGCCTGCTTTCCCTATAATTACCGAGTCAAGGCACAATTTCTGTGCATAACGGGTTCTGCCTGGTTTAAAACACTGTTCAAGCGCATGATGAATTTCGGTCATGTCTCTGCTTGCCAATACTCACCTCCTTAATATGGATGACGTTGAATTTCTTGCCAAAGGAAAATCCACACTAAAAACAGATTATCTTTGTCGAGTCTTTTTCTAATGATATTGGCATGTTCTTTGGGCCCGACAAATGCAATATTCTTCATGTGAAACGTGGGAAGGTAGAAGAGGGAGGATCAGTCCAGGATCGGGTCATACTTGGAGGAGGAGTTATTGACCATCTCGTGGAAGGTCAGGCCTATGCGTACTTTGGGATGTAGGCTAGGGATAGAACTGTAGAACGCCAATATCAAGGAAAATCTTGGGCAGTCATAAGAAAATCTCGAGTTCAGACCTGAACGCTCGCATTAAAAGTAAAGTCACGCATACGTAGGCTGCATCCGCCCTTTCATATTCTTTTGGTATTGCTGATTTGACGAAACAAGAAACTAAGGGTATGGACACCCTCACAAAAAGTATAATGTCAGACAATTGATCCCACCACCCTTCTCTTCCCTCAATCGCTTATATATACCAATTATTATGGGAAGGCGTGGTTTGATGACCATGGAGGCTTTCATGATAGAAATGTGATGTGTACTTTTGCACACGTATACTTGTCTGATGATCCCCTTGTGGTGATGAAACTAGGCATTCCACAGTTTCTTTAACAAGGCACGAATGTCGGACATAATCTCAATGGCAATATTAATTTTGTTGATGGTTCTGTACTGCTGGACGGTACAGAAATGTTTGTCAACCAAGCAATCAAAGGCTTTCTGTTTGCAGCTCAGGACCAGTCACTTCCCACTAAAAACCGTCAGTGTGTGGTTTTGCATCAAAATGTAAATATGACATGTAGATTATGTAATGAATTTAATGAGCCTGTCCAACACATTGGCATTGGATGCCAAGCTTTGGCACAAGCACAGTATCTTAAGTGACGTGATGGAGTGGCACGATCCTTTTATCACCGTCTTTGCCATGCTTGTGGTTCTGACACAGAGGTCCATCCATGGTATGACCCAGAATATGTCAAGGGCGTCTTGGAAAATGATGAATACAAAATTCTTTGGAATAGTCCCGTATACAGCCTCAAACCTATCCAGGACAACAAACCTGATCGTGTCCTTTTATAAACCCAGTGAAACCATTTATATCATTGAATTTTCTGTCCCTCTTGACACCATTGTTAATGACAATATTCAGGAAAAACATGGCAAATATGCGGACCTAGCTTTCGAAATGTCACGCTTGCATCCTAAGTACCAAGTTGTCCAACTCTCAAATGTTCTCGGTGCCTCAGATTTGGTACCTCCCAATCTGTTGACTGAAATTGGGAGAGTACCCGGGTTTGCTACCAGGAATACAGCCCTTCTGACAATCTGGGTAATATAGAAGGCTGCAGTGTTGGAGAGTCTTCACATTCTCCAAAACATTCTGGGTGGGTTTGAGTGTGCAGCGCTTCCTGGAAGAAGTCCCATTCGCTGTTTGGGATGCGTGGAAAGGAGGCAAGGGCCCTGAGCTGATGATGAGCCTATCAGCCTGACTGTGCCAGGATCACCTAAACGCTCTTTGCTGCATTTATTTATTTTAATTATTAATTATTAATAAATGAATTTTAATGATTATTTACTTACAGGAACCAGTCCAGAGCAAAGAGGAGGCCAGTTTGCTGAATGGGTATACCGAGGGCGGTCAGGATGATGATGACACACACGATGCTGGCACTGGGAAGGGCGGGAATGGCCAGAGAAAGGGCCGCTGTCAGAATCCTGCAATCCAATTGGTAACGTGTTATATAATCTACAAGGTGGGTGGCTTATAATTTCTCATCGTATACGTCTCTGTATGTGCACCATGCGCTTGTTTGTACCCAACATTATCATGTGGAACTTGTGGTTCGCAGAATAAATATGCTAAAAGGAAAATGTCATATTTACATTACTGAATAAATGTTATTTATACAGAACAAATCGGCACGTTGATGGACGGGTGCATGTGTCTGTTTGTGAGTGGACGTATGCATGTATCTGTATGTGGTAGGATGTATGCATGTATCTGTATGTGGGTGGATGTATGCATGTATCTGTGTGTTGGTGGATGTATGCACGTATCTGTATGTGGGTGGATGTATAAATTGATTTGTATGTGAGTGGATGAATCATGTATCAGTATATGGGTGAAAATACGCACGTGTCTACATGTTTTTGAATATATGCATGTATCTGCACGCTGGTGGGTGTACTTCACATGTACTTTTGTGCACAGAGGCAAACGTGAATGATCTTTGCGTGTGTGTAAATGTCTCCTTGAACAAACGCAATACTTCATACCATATCGTTATTACTTTACTGCCATCTACTTCCATGCCTTCTATCTGACTAATAAAGATGCACGCAGCTGCCATGAACATCGTACTGCCGTCCCTGTTGGTGGCTGTAGCGAGGGGGACGACGAACTGTGCCACCCTCTTGTCGATGTGGAGCCTCTCAAGGGCGAGAAGGCCTTCAGGCATAGCTACTGCACTGTAACAAATATAGAGGAACGCCGGTATCATACTTAGATACTCCTTGTCAGCAGGTCAGCATGCGGAAGAAACTTAACAGGAACAGTACTGACTAGTTTCACTAGTTCACGTGACCATTACACATCTTAATCTGCAGGTAGTTATGATCCATGTGAACAATTTTCTCGGTATCAAATTATTTACCTCAGTTTTAATATCCATTAAGAAAGATATTCTCAAACTCGGCCGTCATGTTGTACGAACTATATGTCGACGGATTTATCGGTTTGCGGTTAAATAATGTAAATAATGTAATAGCTATGCTTTCCGGGGTGTGAGGTGAAGGTAATGGAATAAGCCGGGTTGACCTACGATGAAGCCGATGCAAATGTAACCATCCAGGCTCGACTGTACTCCGCCTGTATCTTGTACGGGTTCCGTCTGGTGACGACGAACACTCCCAGGGGCAGGATAATAAACTGGTAGAGGAGCAGGCCAACCACCACAGTGCATGCGAACAGCCCAAGGGATCGGAACGTCTCCAGGATGTTATCCGCCCGCGCTATGGCAACGGCTATCAGACTTAGAACTCCAATTGGTGTGTACCTATCATCATCATCATCTTCATTTATTGTATTCAGGCCATAGGCCCATATACATACAATAATATTATATTTATACAAATTTGTACATGTACAAGTATAAACATGCAGACTTATATGCACAGAGATGTGCACGTGTACAATTTTGTAAACAATAAATCGCATCACAACACAACAAGAAGAGATTAAAGCATTTGATTAATAAAGGCAAATAACCTCAAGAATTATTAAACATCATTTGTACAAAGTGAGTGAGTGAGTATGGTTTTACGCCGCTTTTAGCAATATTCCAGCAATATCACGGCGGGGGACACCAGAAATGGGCTTCACACATTGTACCCATGTCGGGAATCGAACCCGGGTCTTCTGCGTGACGAGCGAACGCTTTAACCACTAGGCTACCCGACCGCCCCCATTTGTACAAAGACGGTTGCGAAGTCGTAAACCATAATTAATGTATAGGATAGTATTCTTTTGTTGCTCGTTAGATATTTCATCAGAACGGAGGAGCTTGATTAGTGTATTGATGTTTTGGGGTAAACCTTGGAAATATTTTGTTCTGAGCGATTCATAACATGGACAGACAAGCATAAAGTGGTATTCGTTTTCAATAAATGTGGGGCAAAAAGGACAAAAACGCATATTTTTTAAAACTGAGGAAAAACGGCCGTATTACATACTAAATTGTTCAAACCTAATCTAAAACGTGTAAAACACACTCTAAGTTTTTTGTCTGTTATTTCTGTTAAGTACTGTTCTGGAGCTAAGCAGGATTTAAATGTTTTATAAAGGTCGTATCTTGAACTATTTTCCAATGTAGCTCTCCATTCTTTGATAAACATATCAGATGCAACTTGTTTAAATACACAAAGAAACGCTGTCTTATCTCCAACACCTTGGTAAATCCAAACATATCCAAATCCATGCAGAAATAAAAGTTGTCTGATTTTAGTGACCCATGTTATATAACCAACATTGTCGCGGTATTTCAGCATTTCATAACATTTACGTGGAATACGATCAGGTGACATTTATGTAATCTTTAAACAATATTTTAGAACATAAGAACAGATATATAAGGGATGTTTTCCACATTCACCATACACCATACAATTTGGGGTAGATTTGCAAACATTTAAGAATCGTTTACATGCAGTTAAGTGAATTTTTTCGAAGATGTGATATTTTTCGAGACCCCAAATCTCTGAACCATATAACAGAATTGGTTTAACTTGAGAATCAAAATGTTAGAAGAAAACAGACGGGGAAGACACACCGAGTTTATCAAGAACAACAAATAAAGTAATGGGGGCTCTCTTAGCTCGTAGCGCAAGATCGTTGACGAGGTGATTTAGTTTCAGATTAAAGGAAAAATGACACCAAGGTATTTATAAGTTTTTTCAACATTAATTTGTTGCCCATTTATATACCATTTTTCCCTGGATGCAAGAGGACCCCCCTTTCTATAAACAACAATTTTCGTTTTATCTGTATTAACAGTCAGTTTCCAGGAGATGGTATACTGAAACAATATGTCTATTTGTGTTTGAAGCCCATTAACAGTATCAGAAATTAGTAAAACATCGTCTGCGAAAAGTAATATTAGCAATTCATACATATCTGAATAAAGTTGGACACCGTGTTTTCCGTTTTGTTGGATTTCAAGGGACAATTCATTGATAAAGAAAGAGAAAAGGAGAGGGCTTAAAATGCAGCCTTGTTTCACACCGATAGGACAATCAAAGTAATCAGTAGCACCATTTTTGTGACGAACACATGATTTGACATTTGCATATATAGATTTTAACATTTTATACATTTTACCCCCAACGCCCGTTTTTCTCAAACAATCCCAAAGTTTACAACGATTAACACTATCAAAAGTCCACAAATGCAACATACAGTTTTCGTTTCCGGCATCCAAGATATTTTTGTACAATAGAATAAAGTGTAAAAATATGGTCGATAGGTGAATATGATCGTCTGAAGCCTGCCTGATTTTCTGGAATTTTATCATAAACATTAGACCAGAGCGTTAAACGCTTGTTTAAAACTATAGCAAAAACTTTACCTGAAATACTTGTCAATGAAATTGCTCTATAAGTATCAGGATCGCTTGTATCACCCTTCTTAAATAGAGGAACAATGATTGATTTTGACCAAGTTGACGGAAATATACCTTTGTTGAATATGTCGTTAAAGAGAGAATGAAAAAATGGAACAGTTATGTGTTTGGAACTCTTCAGCATATCCGCTAAGATATTGTCAGGGCCTGGAGATTTTCCAGGTTTAAGTGAGTCAATAGTATCGAGAATTTCCTTTCTTGTTATTTCGGACTCAAGAATGTCAAACTCAACATCTGATGGGTTATAAACAGCAATATCGTCATGCTCATTTTCAATAACATCATGGAATATAAGATCATTGCCTCTGTGCCTGTGATATTATTCTGAAGAGATGATGGACTGCGTAGATTAATTTCTCTCCAGAACCGTTTTGGGTTTGATAATGAGGCATTTATACGATTTATTTGGTAAGTTTAAGGGATTTTAAATAGCTTTTACATTCTGTTTTATATTTGTTGCGTAACTGACAATAAGTTTTCCTATTAGGTTCAGATCTATTTTTACGCAACTTTCTTAGCTCTCGTATTGCGACGCAAATACGGGTATATATCGCCACTTAATTCGAGAGTCCATTGGATAACGGCTCGTAGCTCGTAAACGGATGATGAAGAGAGTTAAGACATTTGTATTATTCGTTTTCTATCAGAAACCACACTTGTTGTTAAATGTTTGGATTTAAGTGTGGCTTAAGTGATGTTGTGATTTTAACAGGTTAGCTTTCCAAAATGTAACTGTTCCAAAAATATTTTCCACACATCCTTTCCTTTTAAAATTGCCAATTGAGTTATAATCAGGGCGAGTCTCTGATTCGAACGAATGGAATTACTATTCTGGCAGAAGGCGACGTGAACAACCTCCTCACACCATCCCTGCTCACAACTCCCCCTTCTTCCACCCACCTCCCCCTCCCCCCTCCCCTCTCCCCCATGCGCCTAGGGCATAGACGAAGGGGGTATTCACATACCTTAACATCTATTAACAATTTATTAACAAGTTATGATGAAGGTGATACCTTCTTGATCGCATTTGATAATGACAAGTTATGATGAACGTGATACCTTCTTGATCGCATTTGATAATGATATACATAATCATCATTCGGTTTACAAGAGACGTTTACAGCGGACGTTTACATCAGACGTTTACAACAGGCGTTTACAGCAGGCGCTTTACAACACACATCTACAACAAACTCTCACCATATAAGCCAGTTCAAGATCTTAAAGATGATAATCGTAGCTGCTTCAAAGAAGACGAAGAACGGTTTGGCTGCCTTCCCTATGGTGGATATAGCGATGCCGAACATCATACAGCACAGCACCAGTCCTGGAAACGTCAAACATTAACCTTCGGATGTAACGAACTTCAAACAGCACAACACCAGCCCTGGACACGTCAAACATTAACTTTCGGATATAACGAACATCATACAAGACTACAGTGGCCAAAGAAACGTCAAAAATTAACCTTCGGATTTAGCGAACATCAAACAGCTCATCAGCGTTAAATTTAAGATTTGAAACCTCAAGCTGCGCGTTCGGTTTCAAATTCAATTTAGCACGGTTAATTTTACAGGTAACCTAGCTCTACATCGAAAACACAGTATGTTTATCTCCTAATCATACAGCACAACAGCAGCTCTAGAAATGTCAAACATTAACCTTAGGATATAACGAACATCAAACAGCACAACGTAACCTAGAAGCGTCAAACATTAGACGTTGGATACGAACGAACGAACATGCTACCATGAATTTGGAAATTACTCAATTCTGATTGGTCAATCTGAGGCTATTAAATCACAATAAACCCCTTCTGATTGAAACAGCTGGTTAGACGGCCGCATCACCGCGGAAGCTAATATTCATAGAATGGTACTTTTTCCAGTCATTGTCTGTGGGCGTATCAAAATAATTATATCTACCATTAGGGGTTAAAAAATACACAGTGGCAGTTACTACAAACTTTAAAGGATGTGTGGCAATATATTTCGTGCAGAAAACACGCTATACCAAAGAATTCGCCTTTTATTTAGTCATAGTAGAATGGAGATAAACATATTGTTTTTTCAACGTAGAGCTAGGTTACCTGTAGATTTAATCGCGCTAAGTTTAACATTTGAAACATTTGAAACCTTAAGCTGTCACTTCGGATGTGAGGAACTTCAAAGCACAACACTTGCCCTGAAAACGTCAAACATGAAGCTTCGGATGTAACGAACATCAAAGCAAAACACTAGCCATAAACTTAGAATATAACGAAAGCGCGCCCAGTTCATGGGCGTATAATCGGATCATCGAACTATCATTTGTTATAACACTTTATTTAACGTTCCTCATGTAAGTAACGATTTTCAGATATAACAAACTGAACTAAATATCTTGCTTGTTATAGCCAGGATGACAATGATAATCCAAACATGATTCAAACATATAAAATCATAACATGTTTTGTGGTGGTTAGTCGTCTAAGGCGCCGCAATTTGCTGTGAAGAGTTGCGTCCCTTGGGCACGCCAGAAACCAATGATTGTGGGTTCGAATCCCGGTTCGCCCCGATTATGTTTGTCAGCACCATAACCGTGCTCGTGGGTGTCACCGAAGTGGTAAACCTCTGCATCACCTCGGGCTTTCCTCTTATATTAAGCTGACACGCCGTGATATAACTGTAATATTGTTAAAAGCGGCGTTAAACCCAACTCACTCACTCATTCACTGAAGTGATGGACATCTAAGACCCGCATCATTTCGGGCTTTCCTCCCACATCTATTTTGATAGATTCCTTGTTTGGCTAAGAATATGTTGTATAATTGGAACTATGATATTATTGCTGATAAGACCGACATAGATTGCTGTACACGTCACGTGATACCTTACCGAGAGCATTCGGTGAGTTACTGGCGCCAGGGACACGTGTCTTCGTGCTGGTCGTGATGTTCTCAAGGATGCCAGACACGTTTCGAATCGTGATTTCTTCTTTTAACGCATACTTTGTTTGAGCCTGAAGAATTGATAGAGTTATCCGATTAATATACAACCATTTACAACTACTTCTGTTTGACACGAGGGAGTGATTAGGATTGAGAGCTAAATATTGAGAGAAGCATCTCGTTATTGCAATACATATTTCAATCTTTTGTTATGGGAAATACATACAGATGGGGTTTTGAGAACACTCTGATTTATAGCATATAGGGTTAGTTAATATGCTCAAATCGTCGCAGGGCCAATTCATATCTGTGTATTCTTTTCAGTATTTTCCCTGAACAGCAACCATCATAACATCATAAATATCATGAAGCTATTGTGTTCTTTCAATGCTTCAGATTGTTTTGCACTCATAGTGCATTATGAATTCATACATTGTTCGTTTATTTTGATTTCACTTTTATCAATATAAATAATTTTCCGTACAATGTTTCGGCGCCTTACATTACACTACGGGCGATTACATGACTTTTAGAGAGATCGTAAAATATATACCTGTTGAAAGCAGGCTGTGATGAGATTGCTCGGTGCGATGTTCCTGAAATGTATGTAAGAATAAACGTAGAATATAAACCAACAATCTATCTTGTCAGTTGATCAGTTGAGTGAGTGAGTTGGGTTTAACGCCGCTTTTTACAGTATTACAGTTATATCGCGGCGTGTCATCTTAATGTGGGAGGAAAGCCCGAAGTGATGCAGGTCTCAGACGTTTCCCACTTCGGTGAAACCCACGGTATGGTGCTGACAAACCTAATCGGGGCGAACCGGGATTCGAACCCACAATCATGAGGTTTACATAAAAAATGTGCTTTCTTAAGGTGTAAACAAAAATCGTGCTTTTTTGCTACAATATCGTTGATATTTCACATTCTTAAAAAAACGCTCGTAATGAATCCTCTGTACAGCAAGGGGCACGGTTGGCCTAGTCGTCTGAGGCGACGCAATTCGCTGCACATAGTTGCGTCCCTTGGGCAAGCCAGGAACCCGTGATCGTTGGTACGAATCCCGACTCGAACTGATATTTCTAGGTTTGTCAGCACCACACCCGATCTCGTGGGTTTCATCAACGTAGTAAGCGTCTGAGATCTGCCTCACTTCGGGCTTTTATCCCACATCAAGCTGACACGCCGTGATGTAACTCTAATACTATTGAAAGCGTCGTTAAACCAAACTCACTCACTCACTCCACATATGTAATATGGGAGCAACCACATCGATTGTGACCAGCTTGAATATAATTATGTATTCCGATGAATTCAGATAAATATTAATTTTTCTAACATAGTTTTATACACGTCTATAAAACATGAGCTTTGATAAGACGACAAAACTTTTGCAACTTTCAATGTCACAAAAAATATATGTGATATCAAGGAACATGCTAAAGCTGTCTTATAACTGGGTTCAATTGAGGTTTAAGGTGAGATGTCACAATTCGACCAATACCCTCACCTGATCAGGTCGGCAAAGATGTCTTGTGTTGAGATGATGTTTTCGGGGTCCGTCTGTGCGACAGAATCCCCCTTTACATCGCTCATCCCAACGCCTGCAACAGAGAGTCAACAAGTGAGTGAGTGACTGAATGAGTGAGTGAGTTACTAGTATAAACGGGCGTGTAAGATTGATCGGGGATAAAAGTCCTCAGTGATTCAGTTTGTTGAAACCCACGAGTACGGGTTTTGCTCTGATAAACCAAGAACCCAATTTGTTTGTGGAGCCATGATCACAGGTTTCTCGTTAAAATCGATTATTCTGTATCAGTAGCTGATGTTTGCTATTTAAGAAGAATGTGAATAAGCACACTAAAACTGACACACATACTTTCTATGTTTAAGAGCCCGACCACTGGATATTCTTTGGCAGGGATATTTTGGAGACAAATATTATTCCAAAAAAATCATTTGTTCCCAGGTTTTACACTAAAAACTCAATTTTGACGCGGCGACAGATAGTATCTCCCTCCCCCACCCCCGGATCCATCACCTTTGTCAAACTTACCTGGTTTTATAGCGAAGGCAAGCGCTATAGAGAGGAGGCATGGGAAGGTGTTTGTGACCATGATGTAGGTTAAGGCTGCAATACTGACGCGTCCGTTACATTTGGGGTCAACCGAGGCCGTGCCTGCAGCAGCAAACACAGACATCATCAAAGTGCATACATGAATAACATTAACGTCAGCAAAGTAAGAAGTTTGTCATATTACCCCATGTGAACAGTTGGGTTTCTTCAGCATAAAATGATTTAAACGTACATCAGTGTGGTCTTACATTTGATTCATTTTGTAGAAAAAACCCCATCAGAATATACAGAGCACGAATGATGAAGTATTACTTGCAGAAGAGCCTATTCCAGTGTTGCATAATATATAATTAAAATACTGCTACACAAGATGGACAAATCGAAAAGGTCGTGGCCTCGACGGCAGCAAAAGCGTCATCGCTTCTGGTGAAACCTTCACAAAGCAGGTGTCGGAATCGCTGAATCGTTCTCATGATTAGGGGAATAATTTTGTGGCTTTTATTTACTGAGTTTAGGGAAGCGGTGAAAATCAGATTGTGAGTGAGTATAGTTTTACCCCGCTTTAATTTCAAGCAATATTCCAGCAATATCACGGCGGGGAACACCAGAAATGGGCTTCACACATTGTACCCATGTCGGGAATCGAACCCGGGTCTTCGGCGTGACGAGCGAACGCTTTAACCACTAGGCTACTCCACAGCCCCCGGAAAAGCGAGGGACACATCGTACTGAAAGAGCAGAACACCTGACTGAACCTTTCATCAACGCTTTTATAACTTCCACACACTGACGTTGTTCTGTGACAAAATATTGACAATTGACAGTCGTTTCTCAGCTCTTTTTACCATTTACGAAGTTTTTCTCACCCTTGTCCAAGTCTCCAGCCGACTTCTCAAAATCAGATGCAGTTATATGTTTGTATCTTTCTTATGTCTCCCAAGAAATAATATTCTACCAACAGTTGCAAGTGGCTTAAACTCACTTTATACAAAGCAACCATTTGGATTTACCCTCGAATTCGGAGTTGCCTGGCCTGGTTTCAGAGATTTTTTTACGCACATCATTTCATAGAATGACAAGACATTACAAGAGGCAAAAACAATCATTTCATCTTAATGATTGTCATAGCCATGAACATAAACACAAACTTCTGTAAACACTCACGCGTTCGTTAATGCAGCTAGAAGCAGTTACGTCACTAATAACTCTATGTATGTATTCATATGAAATCACGAAACACAAATGTCTTTCCGAATACAATAAAAAATCTGAAATGTTGGTAAATGCGTCCGCGTACGGATCAGGCGTTTTCACGCAAAATCCCTAAACCAAGCTCAAAGTTTGGTGTTACAGGTAAACAACCTGCTCTGCTTACCTGTGATGACGCTGCATATGATGAGGGGTAAGATCATCATCTGTAGCATCCGCATGTACATTTCACCTGGGAGGCCTGAAACATGAAAGAGTGAATGAGTGACTTGTGTTTTACGCCGCAGATCTGCCAGTTACATAACGGCGGGGGACACCAGAAATTGGCTTTTCACATTGTACTCTTATGAGAGTCGAACCCCACGCTTTTACATCTAGACACACAGGGACATATGTACACCAATGTGCACAGATCATTGGTTGTAGCCATATATAATACAATATTGCCATTACCTTCAGGAAGACCAGAGAACGCAATGTTGGATTATAAAGTGTGAGGCTTGTTTGGATCCAGTTAATTTCCTTTGGTATGAAGTATGTCAACACTCGTCGATACAAGTAGCACCCTACAAGGCAACCCTCTGATAATTGCCACTTCCTCGTTCATCTGATATAAAAAACATTATAAAGAATCAGGATAAATTATAGATAATGTCATCTTCCGCATGGAGATCCACAAGACGTCACTTTGTGTAGACACCCTTACTCCGCATTAATATTGGTTATTTGATATGTTCTTTTTACCCCAAAGCCTTGTTCTTTTGTAATTCATAATCACAACAGTCCCTCTTCATGAATATTAGTATAATAATCAAGATTATTTGTGACTTTTATATACGCCACTAATCAATAACAGAAAGCTATACATCACACCTTAAGCATATTACCATCAATGTTAAAAGCTCCAAGATTGCTCTACGATGGGTCAGCTTTTCGCTGTGTTTCATTCCTGATATATGCTATTTACGACACAAAAACACACGAGTGTAACAATCATCTTATCAAATAATGTTCTTCTTAAATTACTCGATATTTAATACGTAATTAAAACGCGCGTATGAAACCAATTTTAAGAGTGAACCGTCCCAATTTATCATACAGTCCCATATGATTTGAAGTCATGTTTGGGTACAAAAACACTAACACATGGAGCATTTTCTTTCTGAACTGATTGGGAACGTTAGTCAATAGTTTATTGAGCTGTAAGGCATTGCATCGAATCATGCGGCTTGTAGTATATGGGCTAATTCAAAGGCGGCATAGTCTTGGGTACAATCTTGGCAACAAGAATTCAAACCTTCAAACTTCTGTTTATGAAAAATGATGATGAAAGTTATTCCACGAACTCGAACTTGACAGCCATCTTGAATTTCAAAATAGCCGCCATTTCTCATCCGCTATTGGTCACATATCAAAATATAACTGTTGCTGTTGTTGTGACACATAGACATGATACATATCAAATGAAAGCTCCTTTTATGCCCTTTCTATTGATAGTAATTGTATTTTTTATATCTCAACAAGATAGAAAATTATTACTTAAACACTATGACAGTCGACACTGAATTATACAAATCATATTATTGATGTCACATTATACATATCATACCTTGACAGTATTCACGCTTTTGACGAAATGACAATCAGTACCTTTGTCTGGTTGTAGAATTGCATATACTATTTGATTGGTAAAGATGAGTCTGACTGATGAGGGGGCACGGGTGGCCAATCCGTCTGTGGCGCCGCAATTCGCTGTGCAGAGTTGCGTCCCTTGGGCACGCCAGAAACCTATGATTGTGGGTTCGAATCTCTGTTCGCCCCGATTATGTTTCTAGGTTTGTCAGAACCATACTCGTTCTCGTGGGTTTCACCGAAGTGGTAAACGTCTGAGACCTTCATCACTTCGGGCTTTCCTCCCACATTAAGCTGACACGCCGTGATATAACTGGAATACTGTTAAAAGCGGCGTTAAAACACAACTCACTCACTCACTCACTATGACTGATTAGTACCTAAGTTAGTACAGCAAGGCAAGTTAATACCACTCTCCCAAGTGTCTGCGGTCTGCGGTCATTTTTGTTTTCTCAGTGTTCTGAGAAAGCCAGTTACTCGTCATCGCTAGTTAATTCAGTTCTGTGTTTGTACACATTTCTTAGTCTCCTTCACAAGTCCCCCTCAATTAAAAGGCTTCCGATTCATTCCTTGTCATGGCTGAGAGACCCTGCTGTTGTACTAACTCTCTACTTGTACTACAACTCCGCACTCAGAAGGCAGGAAACAAAGTACTTGTCGTACTCGTGCATGTATTACAACTCCGCACTCAGAAGGCAGGAAACAAAGTACTTGTCGTACTCGTGCATGTACCACAACTCCGCACTCAGAAGGCAGGAAACAAAGTACTTGTCGTACTCGTGCATGTACCACAACTCCGCACTCAGAAGGCAGGAAACAAAGCACTTGTCGTACTCGTGCATGTACCACAATTCCGCACTCAGAAGGCAGGAAACAAAGTACTTGTCGTACTCGTGCATGTACCACAATTCCGCACTCAGAAGGCAGGAAACAAAGAACTTGTCGTACTCGTGCATGTACCACAAATTCTGACCTCAAAAGTTGTTTGTGTATGGGGTTATATTTCATAATCCAGTATCACTGGGTGACTAGGCCCGCACACGACATGAATATAATACAAACCAATAGCAAACAGCACGTCCAGATGGAACATGATATCACACAACACACACCTGACATGGTCACCAAGCAAACCATATCATAATTATTGCATATCTGGCTTTGAGTTCATCACTCTGTCAACAGGTTGGATTCACTGTACACATGCACAAGGAGACAACCATCCATCTTGGAGACTTAGTTAAGACTCTTGGCGTCCATCTCGAGCCGGGACTTACCATGGGGTCACACTGCGAGGTACAACCTGCGCACCAGTGCTAGTATGAGACATCTTCACAGAAGCAACTCATCTCCTTTACTAATCCTCAAGACCCGACTACTGTAATAACCTTCTCATCAACACCTCAAAACATTACTCCAGTTAAAGTACAGTAGCCCGCATTGTATCCCGAAATCGCATATACATGAACTGAAAACACATCTGTTTCAGAAATATTACAGCCTAATATAACATGAATTGCGTCCAATATTAATATACTTCTTATTATTTCAGATTGACTTGCCTTTGCATGCGTTTGTTTCTGATTGGTGCCACTGGTGGGGCAGGATACGCTCACCTTTTCTAGACGCGCCTATTTGAAAGTGATTAAGAATACAACTCTACTTTTGGCAGATATTTCTTGTGGCTATTGAAAGAGTTTTGTCGCTTTTAGTAATTGTTATCAATTAGACACCCTTCCGGGACTCGTGCCAACTCTTCCATGACTCCTTCATCTATTGCTAAAAGTTCACCACTCAACCAACAGGTCGATCACCATTGTTTTGTTCAATTGATTATTTATAACATAATATTTTACCTGGAATAAAGACATTTCTCTGTGATAAAATGGTTTTTTTTGTGGCGTTAAACATAACATGCTCCCTTTCGGACCACATACAGGGTATCTACCAACATATGCATGATTAGAAAACCGATCTGGTTCTAAATCTAAACACAGCTTATGCACCGGTATGTGACTAGCTGATTCAGCAGATTATCACTAAAGTCAGCCATCGTACTAATGTTATGCTCACTTTCATGACACGGTTATATTGATATCACTGTTTGGTTATTTGTATGCTGTTTAACGCCGCACTCAGCAATATTCCAGCTATATGACGACGGTCTGTAAATATTCGAGTCTGGACCAGGCAATCCAGTGATTGATGTCACGAGCATTGATCCATGCACTTGGGATACGATGACATCCATCAACCAAGTCAGCGAGTCTGACCATCCGATCCCTTTAGACGCCTCTTACGACAGGCATAGTAGCCTCTTTCGGCAAGCTGGGTAGCCGAAGACCTATCCTAACCCGGGCTCATATCCTTGTGACGACTTCGGGTTAGAAATGGTCACGGGTAACCTGTGCTTGAGTGAACTGGTCAGAATCCGTCATCTGATGACAGCATGGTCGTTGCTCATACTATCAGTCATTGGTTTACCTGGTCCAGACTCGATTATTTACTGACCAACGTGAGTAATCTTGAGTTTTACCGACTAAAGCATTAAAAAACATTCACACTCTTACCCAGCTTCCCAAACTCAGTCCGTTCCGATGACCTACCTAATCACATCAGAACGTCCGGCGAAGCGTCCGCTGGGCGGATTAAGATGCCCACAAGGAAACCAATGGTCACTCCCAGAGCAGTTAACACCATCAACGACTGGCTTGTCATAAACATCCATATTGTTGGTAAAATCCTCTCTGTGCGGCAGGTCATGGTGCAGTACGTTCCCAGATAGTGCAATACATTTCCGCGACAAGCCTGGCGCTCAGCGTTACTTTGCTGTACGCATGTTTTTTGGAACACTTATTTGGCAAAGTCGCCAGTCAGGCTGATGGCATATGAAAGTGATTACTAGACACGAGGCCCCCGTGTGAAGTTCGGGTTAGAATAGGTGACTGAAGGCGACTTAATTATAATACATCCGGTAGTCAGACACGCTGACATGGGTAGTAGCTTATCGTAATTCCACGGTTTCTCTCGTTGCTCATAATATTACTCACTGAATTATCTGGTCGTGACAAGATTATTAACAGACGCCGTCAGACAGCTGGAATATTGCTAAATGTAGTGTTAAACAAACAAACAAACAAACAAACAAACAAACAAACAACAGGTTGGGAATGCGCAATAGTAGGCTACACGTCACAGATGATATGCACTGATGTAAGGCAATATAAAATGTATGAACATCTGTAAACCTAATAATACAAAACAGTTAATTTGAATTATATTTATTTCAGTAATTCACACGGATAGTCTTTAAATATTAAAAATATATAATTATAACTAGTTTTGGAAGCTTCCGGTAGTTATCTGACTATGTGATGGAAGGACGGTATTTGAACCAGAAAGAACTTCAATACGCTGAATGGGGATAAATATAGTTTTCAATTTAGGCTAATTTGATGACGGTTCATTAAACCATATCTGTATATCCTTATACTGAGTATTCCTTGATTGATTATCATTTTATATTGGATCTGCTGATGGATCTACTCAGTCACCTACTCACTCACTAACGCACCAAACCACCATCCCAACAACCCAACTAGCAACCAC